GCTGATTCCTGCCTCTGCCTCCCAGGTTCAAGCTGTTCTTTTGCCTCAGCCTCCCAAGTAGCTAGGATTGCAGGCACCCACCACCATGCCTGGCTAATTTTTGTATTTTTAGAAGAGACAGAGTTTCACAATGTTTGACAGGCTGGTCTTGAACTCCTGATCTCATGTGATCCACCCGCCTCAGCCTCCCAAAGTGCTGGGATTACAGGAGTGAGCCACCGCACCCAGCCAATAATTTTAAAGTTTCTAGTAGTCACATTTTAAAAGGTAAAAGGGTCTGGGCATGATAGCTCACACCTGTAATCCCAGCATTTTGGGAGATCAAGGTGGGAGGATAGCTTGAGGCCAGGAATTCAAGACCAGCCTGGAAAACATAGTGAGACCCCATCTCTACAAAAAAATTTTAAAAAAGAAAAAAATTAGCCAGGCATGGTGCTGTATGCTGGTGGTCCCAGCTGCTCAGGAGGTCAAGGCAGGAGGACCACTTGAACCTGGGAGATCAAGGCTGCAGGGAGTCATGATCACACCACTGCATTTCAGTCTGCGCAACAGAGCAAGACCCTGTCTGATTAAAATCAGCTGGGTGTGGTGGCTCACTCCTGTAATACGACTACTTTCGGAGGCTGAGGTGGGAGGATCGCTTGAGGCCAGGAGTTTGAGACCACTCTGAGCAACACAGCAAGACCCTATCTCTACGATAAATTTAAAAATTAGCCAGGCATGGCGATGTGTGCCTGTGGCCCCAGCTACTGGGGAGGCTGAGATGGGAGGATTGCTTGGGCCTGGGAGGTCAAAGCAGCAGTGAGGTATGATGGCACTATTGCACTCCAGCTTGGGAGACAGGGTGAGACTCTGTCTCAAAAATATTTTTTAATTGAATTTAAAAATAAGTTCCTCAGTCACACTAGCCACATCTCCGGTGCTCAACAGCCACCTGCCGCTTGTGGCTATTGTGCTGAGCAGTGCAGAAAAAAAACATCTCCATCATCACAGAAGGTTCTACGGACAGCACTGCCTTGAACAATAAACACTTGCTTTCCTCTTTTCTTTGCAGATCAGTGAGATTGTCGGCTATGAGATAAAGCCCACCGAAACGACCTGCCTCTCAAATATGCTCGAATTTGGATTTGGCAAATTCGTTGAAAAGTAAGGGCTTATCCCCTCCTTCAGGAAGGGTTTTGGTCAAAGGATCTGTAAGTTCCCACAGTGATCCGATTGGCCCCATATAGGGCTGTTTATTTTATTCTTTTCCTTGTGGCGTAGGGTGGCTTAAGGCTACTTAATTACCTCCAACTCCCAACTCGTATTGGTGAAGCTTCTGTTTTTAGCTGCAGAACTGCTGATGGGTTATGACTAGAAAATTGAGTCATGGATTTTATTTCAAAGGGAATTTTTTTTTTAATGTTTTTTGAACCTGAGCTTCAAGCCCAGCTCTCAGTGATTGGGGACAAAACCATTCAACCTTTCTGTACCTCAATTTCCTCTTCTTTAAACAAACAAAGCAACAACACTCTCTGAGCTTTAAGACTGTATGAAACCTGGTCCAAGAAAAAGTCTGTTCTCGCCTGGGCATCGTGGCTCATGCCTGTAATTTCAGCACTCTGGGGGGCCAAGGCAGGCAGATCAGTTGAGGTCAGGAGTTCAAGACCAGCCTGGCCAACATGGTGAAACACCCATTTCTACTAAAAATACAAAAGTTAGCCAGGCACGGTGGCACACACCTGTAGTCCCAGCTACTCAGGAAGCTAAGGCCAGGGGATGGCTTGGACCCAGGAGGCAGAGGTTGCAGTGAGCCAAGAT